CAAAATCTGGCAACAGACAAATAATCTGCTCCTACATCTACTTTGAAATGTTCTCTAATGATTTCCCACACAAACCTAGTGACTACACAATCAAAAAGGAGATGATGAGCAGTTTCATCCTTAGAGAAAAAACACAATCCAAAGGTTTAATGATCTGTCTTTTCCTGAGATTGTCTCTAGTCATGATCTTGTTATGAGAAACCAACCACAGAAAAAACATGAATTTTAGGGAAACATGTAACTTCCAAACAACAGGGATGTAAATAGGTTTGACCCCTCTAAAGTTAATAATGTGGTAGAGAGAACTGTTGGAGTATTTCCCATTACTTTCATATTGCCAAATTAAAGCACCAGGCTCATCAGAAAGCACTAGACTGTGCACAATTTCCACTAGTTGGAGCCAGTCCTCCACCATGCTATCTGAAAAATTCCTTCTAAAAGTGAGCTTAATCTAGCCATTATCCCAGATATCTTTAATATATTTCAAAATCTGATTACATTACAGGGGCCAAAATTGGATTGCCAGGAGAGATGTACCAACAAGTGTCTTCCCAGAATCTCACCTTACCCCCATCACCAACCTTCCATCTAAAACCAAACTTAACTGTTGTGGCTACCTCCAGCACTCCTTTTCAGAACCTGGATGATGAGGGGGTAGAATGGCAGTTGAATATGTTTGGGTTCCTAGTGTTGTATTTATGGTCAATCACCTTCTTCCATAGCTTATCTTCATCCTCATGGTATCTTTTGATCCAAGAGCCCAATAAACTAATATTGAGTTCTTGAAGATTTGGGATACCCAAACCACCAAAATCTTTCTTCATACAGATCATTCTGCAATTAGCTAGATGGATCTTCCTATTTCCTTCAAAGTCATTCCACAAACAATTTGCCATTTGAGTGTTGATAAGCTCAATGGCCCACTTGGGGAATTTAAAGAAAGATATGAGGTAAAATGGTATGCTTGCTAAGCAAGCCTGAACTAGTACTAGTCTACCCTTATAAGAGAGTAGTTCCCCTCTCCAACCTGCTATCTGTTTAAGGTTCTTATCTATCAAAGGTTGAATATCGTCTCTCCTTAGCTTGTCATAGTGTAGAGGGATACCAAGATACTTGATAAGGAAACACTAATGCATGATGCTGCTAACGCGACACTACGATCAGAAACCCTTCGAGAAACTGTGTGCAATGCAATCATCGCAAATGGTGGTGTATGGAAACCGTCAAAAATATGTAAAACATTTGCAAAGACGGATGCATCAAACACGGTTCAGATTTTAGTTTAGTTCAATTAACTGTTTGCGATAAGGAGGAACAAAAGAAATGGACAGCCAGATGAAGGCGTGTGCGATACACAGCATACGGTTCACTCGGATGAAGTGTTTGTGATTAGGCAACACAAAAGAAACGGGCAGCCAGATGAAGTTGTGTGCGATATACAGCATACGGTTCACTCGGATGAACTGTTTGTGATTAGGGAACACAAAAGAAACTGTCAGCCAGATCAAGGTGTGTGCGATATACGGCATGCGGTTCACTCGGCCTTGTCGTCAGTGTGTGACCTCTGTGGCAACCGTTCACTCCCCACTAGCCTCTTCTTGTACCGTGGCAACCGTCCACCACCTCTTCGCCTTTCCCTCTCGATTTGGAACTGCCGTCGCACGCTCTTCCTCCCTCCATTTGCCTTCACCCTTCCTTCTGCCATTGTTCGATCTTCTTCTCCATGGAGGGAACAGGCCGAAAACGACCCCGTTATTCTTGCCCCGATCTGAAAGATGACGTGGTGGAGGAATTCATTGATCGGTGCGACGTCATCACCTCAGCTAGCATGGCAGGTTCGTACAAGACCATTCTCGACTCAACAAATAGGATCATTACAAAGAACCCAAGGGTTCGGGAGCGGTTTGATCTCCCCTATCTTCTTCGCCACCCCGCTCGCCGTGTCGAGGACGATGGAAGCCTTGCCTTGTGCAAGTTGATGCCGCTTGATAATGATACATGTGATGTTAAGATGCCATCGTTTAAGGGTAAGGTGGGCTGGCGCAAATGGAGATTGGGTTGTTTATATTGGGAACAACTGCGAGTGGGAACTTGTGAATGTGTACACTCATCACCGGGTTCCACTTCCAAAAATCTCAGACTGCCATGAGGTTCAGCACACAGATAATCTACGTACGTTCAGATACGATCATCATGACTGTCATCTACGGAAGATAGTAATTTCTCGAGTTCCCACCCGCTCTTGGGAATACAAGAACTATGATGTTGTTGCTATCTTCGACAAGCTTGTTGTTGTCTCTGCTTCCACAGATGGATGGATATTGCTCAAAAATCAATTTCTATACACGAATGAGTACTATGATGCAATTCAATACGAGCGTCTTGTGTTGGATGCCACCACTCGTGGCACTGTTTTTGCATGGGATCCTTATTGTTTCGGTATGTTTGTCTTCCACCGTAATTAGAATCGTTTCATCCACGTGCATGCTAGTTAGTATCACCGTACTAATTAACCTTCTTGTGTTTCCAAGGTTTTGTGAACATTCCACCATCTATACTTGAAAATTTTTATAACCAAGGGGGAGATGACGATGGTGATGATCACGAGCATGAGGACGAGCAGGACCCATATACTCAGTGGCGCTTGACAACTTATTCCGATGGATCACCTCTTCTTGTATGTATACAGGGAACTACTGGTGTTACTAACGAAGCAGGTGTTGTCTCCCATGGTCGCACTATCAGACCTATTCCAACATCCGTTACAGGGTATTCCAGATGGATACTAGTGTACTAGCGCCAACACCTCCTTCTCCCTGGTTCAATTTTGATAGTGTTGGAGAAAACTCGCTCTTCCTTGGACAAAACTATCCAATGATGGTAAAAGGCGATCCAGCTGCTGTTGACACAACATTACTACCTTTTATGAGAAGCAACTATATCTATATCTTGGACATTGCTATGGTTCCCTACCCTAGCTATCACAATATGCGTCCTGATATAGGTCGCTTCAACCTGGATGATCAGTCCTGCGTTGGTCTCGAGATTGACAATAACTGGCCCTTCCTAGAGAATCAGTTATGGTTCAAAGCAAGCGTTTCCAACGCCGAGGATTAGTTGAGCTGAAGTTCATTTCATCGCTTTGTTATTTGTTGTGTGAGAAAAACTTTACTTTACTAGAATATTTTGTTGGAAAAAATCTATAATCCAACATGTATCCTCGTTGTTGTTGTGTGTTGATGACTTGTTGTATGTAATGAATGGTACATTTGCATATGCGTCCCATCAACTCATGCATGCTCACACGTCACACGGGTCGCGTGGCGGCACATATATTATTTTTCTATTTGGATGAGAAAAAAGTACAATGCCACTTTGTATTGGTGTCCATATGAACAGTGCTAGTGATTTTAGTTGCAAAAATTAGATAGTGCTAGTGATTTTTAGCTGCATATTTTGATAAATTGCAGTGTTACAAGGTTGACAAATGGGAATGTTAGTAGATAAACAAATGTCAATCTTTCCAGTTTGACAA